AACTTCAGTGTCACCAAGGGAAATTCTCACTGCTCAGTTCCCTGGGTGGAATTCAGGTTTTCCATCCCAGGGCCTCTGGGAGAGGAGATCCTGCTGGCACATACACCATTAACATGCTATGATTTTCAACCTGATACCTTTATTCCAGAGAATCAAAAGGCCACGTTCACTATAAATTTAACTTAAGATGTTTCCCCACATGCTAATGTGTTAGAGCAACTTTATTAAACATAAGAGCTACCCTGGCTCCAGCAATGAGCAGGACTTAATGAAGACATATCTCCTGTGAGCGCCTGGCCTCTCTGCACCCATCAGACATTTTCAGCTGAACCTAAATTAACCTGTAAATGAACTGATTTGCATCCATAAATCCAAAAGAAATGTACCAGTGTAGGGTGTTTGAGATACCCAGTCTCCATTTCCCAATCTCAAACAATTCTCTTCTTAGACTAAAATATGATTCTTTCTCCAGATTGTCTTCATCTTTATTAAAACGGGAAAAAAAAGGAAATCTGAACCACCTAGAGTAGATATTTCATAACTATAATGCCTTCAGAAGAAAAGAATCTGATATCTGATTATCTTTCTTAGGAAGAAAACCAATTGTTTAGAAAAGGACCAAAAAAGACCTAAGTTTGGGTGATTTTTGTCATTTCACCTAGACTGCAATCCTAGTTTCTATCCAGTTCTCAACTTTTTCTTTTTGACAATCAAACCAAAGACGTCTGATCGACAATAACTTCCTCAGAAAAGGAAGAGTATACTCAATACCCACAACGTGCCACCCTCTTTCATATATTATCTTAGCTATTCCTCGCTATAGTCATGAGATTATTATTATTTCCACTTTATAAAAAAGGAAAGTGATGATATTTAATTCCCTTGGATGGCAAGGATTGTGTCTGGTATGTCTATGTTCTTAGCACTAAGCTCCCAGCACTAAGTACATGGCCTAGAACAATTTAAGAGCCTGCTACATGCTTAAGAATGAATACAAGACTAAAGGAAAGGAAAAGAAATTTGGAAAAAAATGTGTGATCCAAATTTTACTCTAGGCCACTAACTGAAACCACTGCCTGGAACATACCTGCACACTGTAAATAATCTACACCTAAGCTTCAGAGGTTTGTTTCAATGGATAATATATCATCTTTCCAATGTGTATGCCACAAAGATAGCATCCATATTTGGCTATATGCTCCACAGGGAAGGGCTTGGTCCTGTCTCACTCTTTTTTCACCCACTCAGCACCACACCTTGCACAGGTAGGCGTTTAATGACCTGAGCGATGACGAAGGTTATGAAGACACTTTCTGCCATCATGGTAGTAAATAGAACACAAGATGCCACAACCACCAGAAGAACTGGTCTCTGAGTCAAATTACATCCTCTTTCCAGCCTCATTTTCCTTCTTGTATGATGGGAATAACAGAAGATACTCGCTAAATTGTTTTCATTCCTTTAATAAATAATTACTGAGCATTAACCACATGCCGGGCACTGTGCTAGGTGTTGGGAACACAGTGATGAACATGATCATCACAACCTGCCTCATGGAGCTCACAGTCTCAGTGGATGCTATAAGACTCATATAAAAAGAGGAGTTTTACAAACTTCAAAGAACTATACCATTATGAAGTATTATTGTTCCTCCTCTATTCCCCAACTTGGTTAAAGGCATCATCCTCCACCTACTGTAAACTT